TGGTGAGAGCGGGCATTAGTTTAGTGCACCACGCATCGCTGAACGCAGGAACGCCGGCGTGTATTGAAGTGTCGGCACCGGGTGTCGCAGTTCCTCTGCTCGATCGATGGAATCGAGCTGCTCCCAAGTCCGCGCCCCGTCTAGGGCAGGTGGTGGGCATTGAGTCAGGCACGTCATGGCACGTCCGACTGCTCGGAACTACTCCGCTCGCGGTTGTCACACGAGGCCGCCCACGATGTTTATTTCCACATCATTCCACATCTATAATTCATAGGCTTCCAGCAGGGTCGCCTGGAGCGGAAGGGGGGCGTCGGGTAAGGCCAGCAATGATGCGGCCGGAACTGGTGACTGCGCGCATCCCGCTTCTTCCGCCTCAACGCCGGGCAGCAGGCCTGCAGCTCTACTGGCGGCGCTTCCCGCAGGGTCGCCGCCAAATGCAACAGCGGCGCATACAGCTAGGGGGATGAGCAGCTTGCCAGCGGGCACGACCGGGCGCGCTGCAGGCGACGCGGGCGGCGCGAATCCCGCCGCGTGCCGCCGCGGAGATGACGCCCCCCCCCCCCCCCCCCGACCTCCGGACCCCCGCGAGGACATGCAGCGGTAAAAGGCGTGCGACAACAATGCACAAGTGCCAGCAGTGCCGCAGTACCTATGACAGCATCTCGCGCACCTCGTCTTTGGCCCCGGGCGGCCCGAGCTCCTCCCCTTCGTGCGGCGCTTCCTTCCATCTTCCACGTACTGTTGGTGACCCGCTGGCTCCGGCGCTTTCTCCAAAACCGTGGTGCAGACAGCGCAGGAAGGGTGCGGCATAGCCTCCAGAGCCAACGCCGCGCCTCCCAAACTGGTTCGTTTGAAAGCGCAGCGCGTGAACATAGCTCCATGCAATAGCACCACATAAGCATGGCTGACTTGAGAGGGCCAGCGAACACACGCGGGCAGTTGGTCAGCCTGGGATGACATTCAACGAGAACATGAAGCGACAGCACAGCCGCGACTTCAACATGACGCGGAAAAGCCGCATGCTCATCCTTGGAGGGACACATGCAGCAATCATGCAGCTATGTCACCAGGTAGCCACAACGCTTCTGCTGCACCGGAGTGTACTCGCCCCTCGTTTGACGCCCAACACGCCTCTTCCGCTTCCTTTGTTTCTCCCACGCCCTTTTTCCGCAAATCCTCAAAGTTGCGGTCCCAACGCATTGCCGTGGCAGGCATAGCCGGATCTATGCGTGCGGCTTGCAAGTGTTGGGGAATGTTGGGGAGTCAGCATGGCGAGGATGCTGGCGTCAACATGGCGGACCAGCGCGTTCGGGCGCCCGGAGCAGTGTCTCGGCTCCAGCAGCCACCGACTTCCATGCCGAAGCGCTCCTTGACGCACCATCCTTCCAAGGAGCTGCTTGGGATGCCAGTGCGGATGCCGACATCGTGTCGACCGTGACCTGGCACCATTCCAAAGAGGGACCGTTGACCTTGATGCGGCGGCACTCATCGCAGCGACGAGGCTCAACGTTGTTGGGCATCCGCCTAAAACTGCCGCGTGCCTGAGGTCATTATGGTCGTCCAAGAACAATGGGACCGACAAAAGCGAGAACAGGGCATGGGCAAGGGCATCGCCTTGTTCGCGGATCGCCTTGGTGGGGCCCTGCATGCTACCACCAGTACGCGGAAGGCTGATAACGGTGCAATGTCGCGAAGAACGCTAAGCAACGATTCCCGGGAGACCGTGTCGTACGCTTTGGCCGTCATATGAAACGCGGGTACGTTTTGGATGGAACTCCTCGCGCTTGTTGAAGCGGGAACCTCGCTGCATCGGTGCACGTACGAGCATTCGGGATACGAGAAGACGTTGACGTTGCCCGTCGCATCCCGTCGCTATACAGCACATGCTGCGTGCAAGCTTGCGCAAGGCCGTTTTGCGAGCTGGCGCGTCCGCTCCGGCAAAGGCCGAGGCACGTCGGCGCACAGGCGCGTCACAGCATGCGCCCGATTCCAACCGGCCCCGCGGCTCACAATCGGCGGCAGGGAATGCAACGTGTAGGGCGTACGGCTGCAAGGAGAAGATCTCATCGCGCGCACGGTGCCTCTACTAAACCTGAAACATCCTGAAACCCTAACCCTGTAACCTAAACTGAAGAGGCGACATGGGCTACACACTCGCAGTTGTTCTCGGGCGCGGCAGAGGAGCTCCGGCAGCACTCCAGCGTGGAACTCCAATTCGTTGCTTGCATGGTCGCGAGCTATGACGGGCAGCGACCTTGCTCCAGCTGCGCTGTCTTTGTTCCGCAAGCTGCAACGTTCAAAGACATATCGGACATGTCGTCTTTAATTTGTTGCCGTCTCCTACTCCTGGACTGTCCATTTCTTATTCTCGAACATTACGTTCACGTGAGTGGCGATACAACCTCTGCAAGGCATTTTGCTTTGTTCGCGTTGGTCATTGCATGTCATCGCGAGTTGCAAGCGAGTTCCGTCCGTACCAGACTTGGCGCGAGCTGACCTACGAGAAAGACCGGTCCTGGTTTAACAACAAGACGATGAGTCACTGCAAAAAGCACGCATCAGAAGACCCAATTCATGACTTCCGCTTATCCAGACATGGTTGCATCCGCCGTGGACACCCCAAATCGCAAGCCGAGTCGAGAAGACAGCAGAGGATGCATCAGCCATCGCACGGCCTCAGCGCCTTGAGTCGTGAACATGCGCTTTCCCTGATGCGGTTGTAGGCCATCCACGTCATTGAAATACCTCGGCCAATCAGCAGATCCCTTGCCTTCAAACAGCACTCTCTGAACCCAACGCCAGGGAAGTTTGCAAAAAGCCCGTTGCCTCCCGAATCCCTGCTGCGCCAACCTGCTCCAGTGCTTCTGGCTGCTTCGATGTGTAGCCGTTCGAGCATCAAGAGCCCTCTTCTGAGCTGCTGGCCCGGAAACAGCACCGTGCTTAAATGGCACATCGACTTGTCTACGACGAAGCGGCAAGGCCTTACGGAGATTTATGAGATCACACTCGGCCCTACTATACAGCCAAGTGATGTTGACAGAAGAGTGCTACCACAGGGCTGCCCAACATGAGATACCTCGTTGTGTCTGATTCTGATATACTAGAGGAAGAATTCGTTGGCACGAAGCCCTTCACGACACGATGCGAACAACGCGAGTACGCATCGTACTCATAAGGCTCCAGCTGTGATCCGATCTGTGAATTTTCCACCTCAGCAATGGCTGACGGTGAACCACATGGACCACAGCCAGGAAGAACGTTAGCTGCACGTCTGACCTTTACTGACCTTCCCCGCCTACAAACTCATACATACACTCGCGGTTTCAGTGTTGCTCCCGTAAATCTAAAAGGCTCAGCTTCCACCCAGCAGTCTTCCGTCATGTCACTTCCCACCTCTTGGAATCCAAACTCTGACGAAGTTTCATCGCTTCATGGCCGTGCGTAGGGAAACAAGGTCAAACCACAGGGATCACGAAAACCAAGCCAGGACAACAAACATGCAGTGCAGTGCACGCCTCCTTGTGCTCATTACCTCTCTTCTAGTAAACCCATGGAACCCCTAGTCTTTGAACCTGTGTGTGTGTGTGTGTGTGTGCGTGTGCGTGTGCGTGTGCGTGTGCGTGTGCGCGTGTGCGCGTGTGCGCGTGTGCGCGCGTGCGCGCGTGCGCGCGTGCGCGTGTGCGCGCGTGTGCGCGTGTGCGCGTGTGCGCGTGTGCGCGTGTGCGCGTGTGCGCGTGTGCGCGTGTGCGCGTGTGCGCGTGTGCGCGTGTGCGCGTGTGCTCGTGTGCGCGTGTGCGCGTGTGCGCGTGTGCGCGTGTGCGCGTGTGCGCGTGTGCGCGTGTGTGCGCGTGTGCGCGTGTGCGCGTGTGCGCGTGTGCGCGTGTGCGCGTGCGCGCGTGTGCGCGCGTGCGCCGCAGCGGCGCGCCGGGCGCGCGGACGCGCGCGGTGCGCGCGGCGCGTGCGCGCGTGCGCGCGTGCGGCGTGCGCGGTGCGCGCTGTGCGGGTGCGCGTGTGCGCGTGGTGCGCTTGTGCGCGTGTGCGCGTGGCGCGTGTGCGCGTGTGCGCGTGTGCGCGTGTGCGCGTGTGCGCGTGTGCGCTTGTGCGCGTGTGCGCGTGTACGCGTGTGCGCGTGTGCGCGTGTGCGCGTGTGCGCGTGTGCGCGTGTGCGTGTGTGCGTGTGTGCGCGGGTGCGCGGGTGCGTGCGTGCGCGTGCGTGCGCGTGCGTGCGTGTGCGCGTGTGCGCGTGTGTGCGTGTGCGCGTGTGCGTGTGCGTGTGTTTTGGTTGAAACGCGCAACCTAGATGCACTTCGGCCAACCGGCTCGAGCACTCAACCGTCGGCCCGATTTCTTGCACTGGGCCCCCCCCGTGCCCTCATCCCCGAGCCCATCTACGTCGACCCGATCTCGGGGCCAATGCTATGCCACCTATCCCCTATGTAGATCTTCACTCTTCTGCTGAGCACGAGGCAGACGGCACCACGCCATTCCCCCTCAAAAAGAATATGAGGGGAAGTGACAAAATCAGCATGGCACAAAAACAGGATGCAACACCAATGTTCGATGCCTCCGCGGCCTCCATGGCGATCAGCCCGGTGATTGCAAAGACGCTCTCACACACTTGACTATAGTCTTCATAAGTATAAGTCTCCACAAGCTGTTGATACGCTGTTTTTTTGGCTATCGAGAATCGAAAACCACAAGATTGCCCCCGGAACTCTTGGCCACGCTTGGCGCCTCTTAGGCCCTCTGAAACCAGCGGCAGGAGCTGCATCAACAGAGTCCGGACATGACGGGCCATGTGCATCACCCGTGGCATCAACTAGCAATCCTGGACCGGAGGCTGGAGGGTGAGAGGGTGACACGCCTTCATTGGGCTGTTTCGCACGCCGCTCGCAGCCTGCTGGTGCCAGCCTCGCGTTCTCCTCGTAGCTCATCCGACGGACAGTGGACGGGCGACGACGGGGCCAAGTTGCTTACAAGCAGTTCGGCTCAGCTGCTGGTCAGCTTTCCGGCGAGCTGCTTGGACTCAGGAGACCACGCCTGGCATGAAACATCTGCACATATGGGCTCGAGGTCCCGCACAAGGCTGCGCTACGGTTGCCGGATGCTCAACTCAGCAGCTTCTGGTGCAGCAGGCTCGTAAAACCCATGAAGAACTATGTCGGCAGCTCCAGTGTCGAGGATTTGATCTCTCTCGCAGCCGGTGCATCTCATGCCTTTGACACGAAGCAGACACAAGTTGACGAGGAATCCACGTTGCAGACCCTGGGCTGTCTAGAGTCTAGACTTCTCGGCCAAGCAGCTCGTAAGTCTCGCGCTGGCCACCTTGCGGAAAAGCTCGCACGCGCTCAGAACCAAGTGATCTCAACATGTGGAATGTGGGATGCTTTGGCCTTTCTGAACCCCGTGCGACTCCGTCTGGAACCGTAGTTGGTGCTGGCTGTTTACATTGGACCTTTAGCGTATAAACGGTATAGAACTAGAATGCTCTTGATGCGCTGAACATTTTGGATGGGCACTTCCTTACATGTTGATGTCTTGGCTATGGAAAGCAGCGCCTGGTACATTGACAAATCATTTGCGTATACGCCTCCGAAGGAGCCTCCATTGCTCCGACATTCCATTCCTGCTATGGGGGTGCGAAAACCTGTTCTTCGAGGATGTTCGACACGCAACTGGAAGGTGTGCACGCATGCAGGCGTGCAGGCGTGCGGGGGTGTGTGCGTGTGTATGTTATCACCGCAAGCTGTTCAGAATGTGGCTTGATTTTGCTAGGTATTTCTGGGTTTTGGTTGGCTTTCTTTGGTTGTGCTTGCGTGAATAAGATCGGATCTGTGCAAGTCAGGCTTAAGTCAGGGCGCTTGCACATTTAACTTCGTGTGAATTACGTGATACTACGCCTCTATGCCTAGACTCTTTTGTCGCTGTGCAAGTTGGGTAAACAGTTGGCAAGCACGCATGGCCTAGCTGGATCTAGCGGCATAGCAGGCATAGCTGCAATCAATCCGGCCTGGCAAGTCGCCGGCAGATTGCGGTGGATCCAGCTGATCCTGGCGCTACGGACTACGGAACCATCAACAGGACGGAGCTGAGATTTCCTCTCAAAACACTCCTCAGAGCGCGCAACTCTGCGAAGAGCCACCGCAGGGATGCGACGATCCAGCATCTCTTGGTACCTGTTGGCACAGAATGGATTGACGAAGACGTGGTATTTGCAAGTTGCAGCTTCATGACGAGGCCTCTTCTTCGAAGACCAGAGCAACATCATCAGGACGCACAGCATGATGGTTGTGATGCCTGGAAAGCTCGCCCTCTGCAACACCCGCTTGATTTGAAGCTCGGACTCAAGACGGGCCAAGCGGCTGATGATCACAGCCCAATCGAACCGGGTGTACACCTCTCCAATTCATGCGATGGACTCACCACTCATGAGTGCGCTGGTGTTCGGACGCTGTCGCTGCGAGTTGAGCTTTGGCCACTTTGGCTGCTTCGGCTGCTTTGGCCTGGACCGTGACGCTGCCATCGGTCTCTTCAGACATCCGCAGGGATTCTGCAGAGGCAGCTGTCCAAACCTCAGCGTGACATAACACACCTGACCTTCTGTTTCTAGAGGCGGTACCCCTCTTGATGGGTACTTCTCTAAGGCAAATGCCCAGAAGGCTGTGGTAGGCAGGGATCCCAAACCTGCAACTGCCATGCTCCATTACCCCAGCACCAGCACCCTGGTGTGTGAGATCCGTGTCCTAGACCCCGTGGGCGCCGCGCATCCCAACGCAAATCCAGCGGTGCTCAGAGAGGTCAGCGAACACGCGTAGTTGAGTGCCTCGCGAATCTGTTTCAGGAGAAGACTGGGGGGAAACTTGGCCCGGTCACTGCCTCCAGAGGTAGAAACGGGCTCATTCGGGCCACAAGCACGAACTTCCAGCCTGACACACAGTCTTGCACCCTTCTTGCACAGCCAAGGTCTCAGATAAAGCACAGCTCCTGCCTTCCTGCTCGACGATTTCATCCAGCACCTGCGAGGCGCAGACGTCTCTGCGGCCTTATGCATCCTGAAAAGGGCTGAAGACTGCCTCGACCCATTCCAAGTGGCGAAGCCTGATACATTCAACAGGGCTTGAGGGACATGCCGAAAGCCACGCGCGACTCAACGAAAAAACTCTTCTGCTTGGTCGGGTGAAGCTGATGAAATCCTAATGTCACGATTACACTCCCTTGAAAGCAAAACTTGTGCACACATGACGGTGAACGGCGAGGATTGGCTCAGGATCTGCCAACCCAAAAAACAGTTCAACATAAGCGTGCAGCAACTGAAACGGCAACGGCTCGAAATGCTATTATGATGCCGATCACGCTGCGTACTGTGCCTGCTGACCAGACACGACCGGAATAGGGTTCGGCCTGACTAGAAGCAGCTGGAGAAGATCCAACTTGCATCGGCTTAAAAATGGCGAGCACCGAGTGGAGTGAGTTGAGCCCATGGCCGATCGCAAACGATGTAAGCCCGCCGACTGAGACACCGCTGAAGACTGCAACAGTGCCTTCAACACTTTATCAATGAAATGTGCGCTTAATCGCGCACAAGAGTCACACGAACGAGGCATGCATGAAAGCATGGAGAGCCTGCAATAGATCCTTGTAAGACCTTGCCGTCAAAGATGTGCACGAAGACAACCTTGCACCACGTGACAAGAAGACGGCAACCTACGAGTAATAGTGTTGGGCCCGCTGTTGCAGAGCCCCTCTGCACAGGCAAGTTTGCCAACTGTCCTCTCTAGATACAAGTTGTCCAGGCCTTATGGGGTCCCGAACCATATCCTGTCAAGTGATTTATGTATCGTCCCAGACATTTTGCTGCGTAGTCGTCCATGAGCCAACACTGCCGACACGCCCCTTGCGTCGCTGTAGTGTATTGCCATGGACCGCCTTACGTCCCAGGTTGGAGATTCAAGTGCCCTAGAGCTGTGTTGCCTGGGATATCCAAGGCCGGGCCCTGAGCCTTCGTCTCTGTCCCTTTGAGTCCCTTCATCCCAGCCGCAAGGCTATTTACAAAAGCTTATACACATTTATAAAACGAGGGGAGGAGGGGAGGGGGCTCCATGCGGCTCCCACATGCTCGCACGAATTTCATTAAACTGGGCAATGTTGAAATTCAGTTCCATGGGCCCTAAGTTGGGAGCCTGCAGATTTAAAACACAAGCAGCCCAATGCATGTTGTCTAGCTCCTGTCACATCGCGTGAACAAGCAGGGCTTGGGTTGCTGCGCCAGCTCCAATCCACAGGCCGAATGATGGCAGGCAGAACACGTTAGCCTGCCACGCCGAGAATCGCAGACTGTGACGCTAGCGCCACAGAAGTGGCGAATAGATGATAGTAGAATAGAATAGATGTGCTGCAGCTTCAGATGCAACACAACGGGGCTGCAAAGCAAGGTGATGGAACTCGGGAAAAACATGCCCGCCACGCCACGGCCGTGGCAGCGAAGAGGAGCAAGCCGGCTTCGACCTGCGACGCAATTTTTGAAGAAAAAGCCCTGGCTGGTTGTTGAATGATCTTGAGCTTCGAGCAGGCTGCATGTCGAAGAGACGGTGGCAGAGGTCTTTGGTAGCCCCTCCCAGCTTCTGCCTGGAAAAACACCCTGCAACGGCGCAAAAAACGGGCAGCTCGGCAGGTGCCACTGACACTGGGCCTGTGCGTCCAAGCCGCCACAATGCCCAGCAGTAAGAGCCTCAGACGCGACACAGTATGGCCACATATGCGAACAGGAAGAGCGGTACCTACTGAAAAAGATGCGCACCAGTATGTGCCAGTAGATGTGAGCAGCATCAACTGTTCAAACTACTGACTCATGGGTAAAGCATTTTTCAATACTTCGAGCGACCCGGGGCTTGAGGACAGCTGAAGATACCACCGGCAAAATGACGAGCGGCAAAGAGTTCGCCCCATGGCGAAAGGATCGGCAGAACAAACAATTTGTGCTTTGATTGCTCAGATTATCCTCAGATTTGTTCAGCTTAGAGAGGCCATGCAGTACTAAGTTGGACTAGGCGCATCAGTCTGAGGCTCTCTCTGATCTGATTCCTCCACGCACAATGCTGAGCCGCACACAGCGCCAGAAGTGTGGTGACGATTGTTTGGGCCAAGTCGCACAGCCCACACCGTGCCTCGAATGCACAGCCCACGATCATGACCCTTCCGTGGTCTCCATCACTTGGGTTGGAACCTCCTCGGCGGTCAGCACTGCAGGAGCTGTTCGAGCCCGGGTATTCAGGAGAGGCACTCGCCCTGGGGATGCACAGCGTGAGAACATGGATGTGAGGAACGCCGCAAGACTCCGCAAGACTCCGCAGGCCTGGCAGCCGCGGCCTTTCGGTTACCATTTTCCCGAGACATCAGGGCTGGCGGGGCAAGCTGTGGCAGGCTACTTTCGTCCTACTTTCCCAAGTTTGCGATGACCCGAGCTGCCAAGGGCTCTACACCCGGGGACCAGGAACTCCGGAAATAAACATTGGAATGTTGGCGGATGGCGGACGGTAATGAAGGTTCGTTGGTACTAGTAGTGAGCTAGCGAGTCATTAACGCTGAAGTATGTCTTCTCTGCTCTGCGCAACCAGTGTTTACCGATCGGTTCGACAAATACAAGCACCGCCAAGGAAATGATGCGCATGGGCATCAGTGCATGAGAAACCAAGACCACTGTGGCGCCGTCCCATACGCAGCACTACGCGGGCCATTCACGTTTCTGCGCAAACTCCTGGCCTGTGCTGGGTGAAACGGGTGCTCTCGTGGCGTCACCTTTCAGTGACTGCCTCCTGACAGCCAACCTTCAGCCATCTTCAGCCAACGCTTGGCCTACTTCTCCTTGGGCTCGGCCTCGGGGCCTTCGGTAGCGTCGACAGATCCGGCCTCGGAGATGCCTGCAGCAGCCATGGCCGACATGGAACGTGTCGAAGGAGTCTCGGAGGAGTTGGCATCCGAGTGCTCCGAGAGGCCTTCGGCATCTGACCAGGCGTCTTCTTCATCGGAGCCAATGGCAAAGATAGAATCGCCTAGATTAGCATCGTCCACGCTGCCCGAGTCGCTCTTCTGCGGCGGCGGAAGACCTGTGCCGACAGCTTCCTTCCAGGACTGCCCTTTTTGACGGACACCCTGCGCTATGCTCGCAACGCCCGAAGACACTTCACGGCTTTTCCGCGCTAGGCTTCCTTTCAGCTTACCACCTAAAGATCGAACACGGTTGACTGCTTCGTTGGAACTTGGCGCCGAGGAGAGCTCCGCATAGTTGGCCCTGGTGGATGGTAGTGTCCAGAATACCTCTTCTTTCGGATCCTCCTGCAATCGGGTCCTCAGCCCCTCTCGCAGGTCTCCGGCTTTTCGGAAGACGGCTGTCTTCACCTTGTCCAGGCCGCCCTGGCCGCGCCTGCCGTCCTTCATGTCCGTAGCTTCTTCGCCTGCCTCGCCCGTCTCTGCGGGCGTTGCGTCCTTCTCCTCCAAGTTGCCACGGAAAACCTCTCCAAACCCGGCGTGCAAGCATTGCCAGACTACTGCAGCCTATTATGGTGAGGTTGGTCTTCGAGGGTCTCCCCAGCTACCCCACAGCAGATTTAGCAGTGAGCGGGCGCTACTCACCACAGGCCCCAAGACTTCAAGAGAGTTTTGGAGATGTGCAGCGCAGTGCTTTCTACGAGTATTGGGTGAAGTCCCAGATCTTCAGAAGCCCCCCGAAGACTCCCACAATGCCGAGCGGCCTGCTTGCTGACTTGCCGAAGATCCTGGACGCTGTGCCGAACTTCGCTCATGACCTCCTGCCTCGGCACAATCAGCACAAATCTTAACCTTTCAAACCCAAATGGCTGCTGGCAGTGGCGGGGATTTCAGGGTTGTGGGGTTTCAACTCTTAAGAATAAGGTCGATTCGATTGCATGCGTCAAGCAGCATGTTCTGCATTCTTGGGCTCCTGCCTCAGTTCCTGCACATCCCTCCACATATCTTTGGATACGTCTGCTGTCAGCGCGATGTTCTGCCGGACGGCCTGAAAGCCACTTGCAGAAGCTTCCCCTGCGCCGTCCGTCTCCTTTTTGGTCGCATCTGGAGGATCGCCTTTGCTTTCCTCCTTTTCCTGCGCGAAGCTGCGCCATCGAGCTCCGAAGGCGCTCCGCCAGTTCTTCGTTTGCGTCTGCAGATCCTGCTTTGTGAGCTGCATGCCCTCGCGGACACCCCCAGCAATGTCTCGCACGTCGTCTGTCACCAGCTTGGCCTCTTCAACGATGGCCTCTCGCTTAGGTTGCATGTTACGTGTTGCATATGGTGAGTTTGCGGTGTTGCTTGCATACGCGTTGTAACGCACACCTCATATCACCTCATATGATGATGATTCCTCAACCCAGAACCTCGAAATGTTCTGAGCCCAAGCCAACCCATGCCACTGAAAAGAGGTTAGGACGGTTTGGTATGGTTTGGTTTGGTCTCGGACGGGTCAGGGGGGAACGGGGAGCGACAGAGGCTTTCAAGCGGGGAGCTTTGGCGGGAGTTTTTGGGGCGGACAGGGAGTATGCGGATGATGGCGGGCCTGCCGGGCTTTGCTGAGAAAGGGACTGGCCTTCATCCTGAGGCTTGAAGCCTGAGGATCTCAAGAGGTCTCAGACCCTTTCACTGTAGCGTTGTCTTGATGTCGCCGATGTCGCTTTGATCTTAGCCCGATGCAGAGCCGAGGAGGGCGCCGAACCTGGAACTGGACGAGGTCGCCTGCACCACGCTCTAGAGCTAAAATGAGCGCCCCCTTCCGCAGGAATCCACGTTCCCAGTCAACTTTGGAGCCTCCGTTGTCTCCAGCCTTGGAAAGCTTTTGCGCACAAAGCTCCGAAATCACGAAACTCAGGGCACAAACTCAGGGTTGCCATCACCGCCATCTTCGCCGTCGCGTTCCCTGGCTCGGAATGGGCAGACAAGCTGAGCGGCAACACATGTGCACCGCAGCCCTCGGGTAGAAGCAGACCTGTGCCGATGCAAACCAAAGACAAAGCAAACGAAAAAACGGCGCTGACGGCACTCTGGAGTCTCCCCAGCGCTCGGTGGGACCTGGGCCAGCTCACCAGGCGTCTACTGGAAAGTCAAGCCGTTGAAAATTTGAGGACTATTGGACCATCTGCGAGTGGCCACTGCACGGTGAGCAGAACATGGCAGTATGATAAAAGCAACCTGACCCCACACCGAGCTCTTTCATTTCTGGTGCTCTGCTTGCTGGCTGTTGCAAAGTTATCCGCCGACCCGAGCTTTGAGCGGGGGAGGCGCTAGTGAAGACCCATAGTCTTGCCCCCCCCCGCCCCCCCCGCCCCCCCGCCCCCCCCGCCCCCCCCCGCTCCCCTCGCCCTTCCCACCCCACTCCTGCCCACCCCTCCCGCTGCCTTGCTGTTAGAATGGAGTGTTTTCAAGGGCTCCAGTGCATGCCCGAACCCTCCCTTTGCTGCCCCCGCCCCCCCCGCCCCCCCCGCTGCCCCCGCTCCCCCCGCCCTTCCCACCCCCGCCGACCCCCTCCACTGCCTTGCTGTCAAACTGGCGTGTTTTAAGGCTCCAGTGCATGCCCCACTCCTCGTCTCTGCCCCCCCCCGCCCCCCCCGCCCCCCCCCCCCCCCGCCCCCCCCCGCTCCCCTCGCCCTTCCCACCCCACTCCTGCCCACCCCTCCCGCTGCCTTGCTGTTAGAATGGAGTGTTTTCAAGGGCTCCAGTGCATGCCCGAACCCTCCCTTTGCTGCCCCCGCCCCCCCCGCCCCCCCCGCTGCCCCCGCTCCCCCCGCCCTTCCCACCCCCGCCGACCCCCTCCACTGCCTTGCTGTCAAACTGGCGTGTTTTAAGGGCTCCAGTGCATGCCGCTGCCTTGCTGTTAGAATGGAGTGTTTTAAGGGCTCCAGTGCATGCCCGAGCCCTCCCTTCGCTGCCCCCCCCCCCCCCCCCCCCCCCCCCCCCCCCCCCCCCCCCCCCCCCCCCCCCGCCGACCCCCTCCGCTGCCTTGCTGTCAGACTGGCGTGTTTTAAGGGGTTTAGTGCATGCCCCACTCCTGCCCACCCCTCCCGCTGCCTTGCTGTTAGAATGGAGTGTTTTTAAGGGCTCCAGTGCATGCCCGAGCCCTCCCTTCGCTGCCCCGCCCCCCCCGCCCCCCCCGCTCCCCCCGCTCCCCTCGCCCTTCCCACCCCTGCTGTTAGAATGGAGTGTTTTCAAGGGCTCCAGTGCATGCCCGAACCCTCCCTTCGCTGCCCCCGCCCCCCCCGCCCCCCCCGCTGCCCCCGCTCCCCCCGCCCTTCCCACCCCCGCCGACCCCCTCCACTGCCTTGCTGTCAAACTGGCGTGTGTAAAGGGCTCCAGTGCATGCCCCACTCCTGCCCACCCCTCCCGCTGCCTTGCGTTTTAAGGGCTCCAGTGCATGCCCGAGCCCTCCCTTCGCTGCCCCCGCCCCCCCCGCCCCCCCGCTCCCCCCGCCCCCCCGCCCCCGCCGACCCCCTCCGCTGCCTTGCTGTCAGATTGGCGTGTTTTAAGGGGTTTAGTGCATGCCCCACTCCTGCCCACCCCTCCCGCTGCCTTGCTGTTAGAATGGAGTGTTTTTAAGGGCTCCAGTGCATGCCCGAGCCCTCCCTTCGCTGCCCCCGCCCCCCCCGCCCCCCCCGCTCCCCCCGCCCTTCCCACCCCCCCTCCCGCTGCCTTGCTCCCCTCGCCCTTCCCACCCCACTCCTGCCCACCCCCCCCGCTGCCTTGCTGTTAGAATGGAGTGTTTTCAAGGGCTCCAGTGCATGCCCGAGCCCTCCCTTCGCTGCCCCCGCCCCCCCCACCCCCCCCGCTCCCCCCGCCCCCCGCCCTTCCCACCCCCCCCCTCCCGTCGCCGCTGCCCCCCCCCCCCCCCCCCCGCTCCCCTCCGCACCTTCCAACCACTCCTGCCCACCCCTCCCGCTGCCTTGCTGTTAGAATGGAGTGTTTTTTCAAGGTCTCAGTGCATGCCCGAACCCTTCCATTGCTGCCCCCGCCCCCACCGCCCCCCCGTGCCGCCCGCTCCCCCCCGCCCTTCCCACCCCCGCCGACCTCCTCCACTGCCTTGCTGTCAAACTGGCGTGTTTTAAGGCTCCAGTGCATGCCCCACTCCTGCCCACCCCTCCCGCTGCCTTGCTGTTAGAATGGAGTGTTTTAAGGGCTCCAGTGCATGCTCGAGCCCTCCCTTCGCTGCTCCCGCCCCCCCCCGCCCCTTCTGCTCCCCCCGCCCCCCCCCTCCCGCCGACCCCCTCCGCTGCCTTGCTGTCAGACTGGCGTGTTTTAAGGGGTTTAGTGCATGCCCCACTCCTGCCCACCCCTCCCGCTGCCTTGCTGTTAGAATGGAGTGTTTTTAAGGGCTCCAGTGCATGCCCGAGCCCTCCCTTCGCTGCCCCCGCCCCCCCCGCTCCCCCCGCCCTTCCCACCCCCGCTGTTAGAATGGAGTGTTTTCAAGGGCTCCAGTGCATGCCCGAACCCTCCCTTCGCTGCCCCCCCCCCGCTTGCCTTGCTGTCAGACTGGCGTGTTTTAAGGGGTTTAGTGCATGCCCCACTCCTGCCCACCCCTCCCGCTGCCTTGCTGTTAGAATGGAGTGTTTTTAAGGGCTCCAGTGCATGCCCGAGCCCTCCCTTCGCTGCCCCGCCCCCCCCGCCCCCCCCGCTCCCCCCGCTCCCCTCGCCCTTCCCACCCCTGCTGTTAGAATGGAGTGTTTTCAAGGGCTCCAGTGCATGCCCGAACCCTCCCTTCGCTGCCCCCGCCCCCCCCGCCCCCCCCGCTGCCCCCGCTCCCCCCGCCCTTCCCACCCCCGCCGACCCCCTCCACTGCCTTGCTGTCAAACTGGCGTGTTTTAAGGGCTCCAGTGCATGCCCCACTCCTCACCCCTCCCGCTGCCTTGCGTTTTAAGGGCTTGAGTGCATGCCCGAGCCCTCCCTTCCCCCCCCCCCCCCCCCCCCCCCCCCCCCCCCCCCCCCCCCCCCCCCCCCCCCCCCCCCCGCCGACCCCCTCCGCTGCCTTGCTGTCAGACTGGCGTGTTTTAAGGGGTTTAGTGCATGCCCCAAGGGCTCCAGTGCATGCCCGAACCCTCCCTTCGCTGCCCCTGCCCCCCCCGCTTGCCTTGCTGCCCCCCCCCGCTCCCCCCGCTCCCCCCGCCCTTCCCACCCCCCCTCCCGCTGCCTTGCTCCCCTCGCCCTTGCCACCCCACTCCTGCCCACCCCCTGTTGGCTTGCTGATAGTGTTTTCAAGGGCTCCAGTCCATGCCCGAGCCCTCCCTTCGCTGCCCCCGCCCCCCCCGCCCCCCCCGCTGCCCCCGCTCCCCCCGCCCTTCCCACCCCCGCCGACCCCCTCCACTGCCTTGCTGTCAAACTGGCGTGTTTTAAGGGGTTTAGTGCATGCCCCACTCCTGCCCACCCCTCCCGCTGCCTTGCTGTTAGAATGGAGTGTTTTTAAGGGCTCCAGTGCATGCCCGAGCCCTCCCTTCGCTGCCCCCCCCCCCCCCCCCCCCCCCCCCCCCCCCCCCCCCCCCCCCCCCCCCCCGCCGCCCCCCTCCGCTGCCTTGCTGTCAGATTGGCGTGTTTTAAGGGGTTTAGTGCATGCCCCACTCCTGCCCACCCCTCCCGCTGCCTTGCTGTTAGAATGGAGTGTTTTGAAGGGCTCCAGTGCATGCCCGAGCCCTCCCTTCGCTGCCCCCGCCCCCCGCCCCTCCCGCCCCCCCCGCTCCCCCCGCTCCCCCCGCCCTTCCCACCCCCGCCGAGCCCTCCCTTCGCTGCCCCCTCCGCTGCCTTCCCTGTGCATCGAATATTGATTACAATCAATATGGTTCGGCTCATATTGATTTCCGAGTTTTTTCAATATAATAAATTGATTTCGGCGGGAAAAAAAATCAATATTTATGATCAGTTGAACCCAGACCAAAATCAATATATAAAATCAACCTGAGGAAGCGATGAATTTTCAATATATATATATATATCCTACACATGTGCATGTGCAAGATCAGCTCGGGCCAGTCATTTTTGCACACTCTCGCAGATGCAGCTGTTGCCCTTTCGCAAGGGTCAATCGTCCTGGACAGGCTGCACTTGCCTCTGCATCTGGTCGAACCCTTCACGAGTCAGAAGCATGTGCAGCAAAATCCGGTATTTGGGCGCAACCTTTTTGCAAAGGTTGGTGGATTTCACCCCCATGCTGACACTATGTGTTAGTGCAGCAACCCGGCCAACAAAGTCTTCACTCTTAAAGCACCAGTGGCTCCGAGGATTCAGGTGCTTTGCACCTCGGGCCAAATGCATGAGCATGTGATGCTTCATAACGGTGTGGAAAAGAAGCTTCTCATGCTCCTGAGCCCACTGTGAAAGAGCTTCATAGGCTTGCAAAAACTCAGATGCAAACTCCAGATTTTTTACAAAATCATTGTGAGACAAGAACATGTCGGACATGTCCCAGAGCTGGACAAGCTTGTCCATGGCCCTCAAGGCTCTGGACATCTCCCTTTCGCAAGGGATTTTTTCGTCGAGAAGGCCTTCCTGGCACACTTTCGCAAGTGCAGGCAGGAGGTGTTTGCCCTCCGCGCCTTTGATCTCCAGGAAAGGAGGGCTTTGATGAGGCTTTTGCTTGTCAACGAACATCGAGAGCTTGAGGTTGGTCAAGCGGGTTGGCGAGCCCAGTGCCTTGTACTTAGCCTGGATGAGCTCGAAAATCAGTGCTAAACGTTCAGCTGGGGATTTGCAAGCAGTGCCCTTTCCTTTCCCAGAGGCCTTCCCTTTTGCAAGGGAGGGGTACCAGCAAAGGTAGTGCAGAACGGAGCCTAAAAAGTGGCTGTAGACACCCTTACAGAATAGGATGTGTAGTGCATCACCACGGACCATGTGCGACGAGCACCCTGGCAAGCCGAAGAGTGGGTGCTTGCTTCGAGGACTCTCCATCGCCTGCCGGTTCGTGGTGAAGCAGTAGTCCTGCTTACAAATGTCCAAGGTCTTCACAGATTTTTCAGGCTTGTCTGTGCTGAGCTTTGCATCGCACAGCCAACAGGGGCTCGCATTTCGCCAATGCGGGAGGCCGAGGGTGTTGGAAAAAAATTCCTGGTCGCCCTGAATGCTCCAGATAACACCCTTGTAGCCGCCATTTGTCAAGGGCTGGCCCCTGCTCTCGAAAAATGGAGAACCCTTTTTCAAGGGATTGCCCTCCGGGTCATGGGTCGGGTGTTGCCCTTTGCCAAGGGCCTCGAAGCTCCACGCCACCCACTTCATGATGGCATCCCAGGTACCTCCAGCGGAGCAAGACTGGGTTGATGGTTTGGGGTTTCGGTCTTGGGGCCTGGGGTCAAGGTTTATAGGGTTTTAAGATTGTAGGGTTTAGGGATCGGCATCAAGATATTTGCATCCCAGGTACCTGCAGTGGAGCAAGACTTCGGGAAGCATGCCAGCATGAAGTGAGACAGCAAAGAAGAAAGGCCACACAACAAAGACCCAAAGGACCAGATCATGAGCGAATCTCGGGACTGGAACTCGGCAGCATCACCGTGCACGAAAAGTGGCACAGTCTTCTCCTTCCAGCCAGGCCCCTTTAACAAGGGGTGTTGTTTCAGCCTGTCGTCACCCGTCTTCTCTGCAAGACTCCAGAACTTTTCCAAATTCGCCAAGCTGAAGAGGTCGGGGAACATGTCGTAGTCGTCGAGAGACGAGAAAAGAACATGTGGCAGGAAAACTGTGGCATCGACCTGCACAGTTTTGCTGGTCTTCGGGTCTACTGCAGGAACCGAGACCACGTTGCCCTTTGTCAAGGGCATGTCCTTGCAGAACCGGGTCATCAAATCGCGGTGGCAGTTGCCAGGACTTGACCCATAGGCCCCGGTCTTGGCCATGGCTGCCAGCTCCTCGTGCTGAGCTCCATCAAGCACAGCCTGCATAGCCAGCCACTGCAGCATGGTGGCCGAGAGCTTGCCATGGCTCCAGAGTGCCAGCAGTGCACCTGCCAAAGCACTGTGTGTTGGCTGCTCACCTTTCTCAAGGTGGGACTGCTCGGCTCTTCCAGCTTCTATGTCCAGCTGCCATCCACGAAGCCGTTTGGCACCGACCGGCGGCATGAAATTCCCTTGCAAAAGGGATCTTCTTGTAAAAGGAACACGGTTTGAACCAAAGGGCCTTGCACATGGCATAGTCCTGACAGCTGGGGGTTTCGAATGACTAAAAAAAAGGTTTTGGGCTCAGTGTCGTGGATTGGTTGGGACTAGCCTCAGCCCGAAGCCCTAAACCCTAGGAGGGCTAAAGCCTTATATGATAAGATGTCAGTCCATCAAGCCAACAAGCTAAAACCCTAAGCCCCAAACCCTAAAAGTCTACCCCCAAAACCTCAACCCTACACCCCACCCTAAACTCTAGAGCCAAAGTCCTCAAGCCTAAAGTCCTTAAACCCTCAGCCCTACCTCCAACTCCCAACCCAAAAGCGCCCCCGAGCCAGCCTAAACCTGAAACTCCTGAAATGATTCCACCCCCCCGAGCAGGTACTGTTTATTTTTGGGTCTGCCAATGGCTCGATCTGGCAGAGTGTCAAAAACACTGTACAGCTGGCTTGCATACATCCCAAGCCCAAAGGCCTAAAGGGTTTTGGGTCTAGGATTATATAGGGTCTAGGGCTTACGGTTTACTCCCAAGCCCTCGAGCTTGAAGGGTTGGGTCAGGCTTACAGGGTTGTTGGTTAAGGGTCTACCATAGCAGCTATAGCAAGCCATGCAGCAGAGCTCAAGGCCCTTTTTCAAGGGCTTAGGGCCTGTTGCAAGGTCACTTCGCCCCGCTTGCCCTCGAGGATGCTTTGCTGGAGAGACTCATGATCTCCCTGACCTCATCCTTGGCCTCCTTGACCACAGCTGCCGAGCCGAGCATGGCCTTCTTCAATTCCTGCACATCCACATTCGGGTCGGCGATGTGCTGCTTCATCTGCTGCATCTCCCTCTCCAAGGACTTGAGGATGGCATTGGCTTCGCTGATGTGGCCCTGCGAAACCCACTGGGAGCCCTTGGCCTTTGTCAAGGCCTCTTCCAGGTTGCTTGTGGTCGACGAGACGAGGTCTCTCATCTTGCGAGCCTTTGCCAAGGCCTCTTTGGCCTGCTCCTCCTTTGTGGGGGGGTCGGCCTGGCCATCCTCGAGAGCCAAGGCCCTAGCCTTGGCCTTGGCCTTGGTCTTGGCCTTGGCAGTCGCCTTGCCGTGCCCTTTTGCAAAGGAAGTCTCGCCCTGGTCGGCACTTCCCTTGCCGAGACCCTTTGACAAGGACACCTTGCGAAGAAAGGCACCCAAGTCCTTTCCCAAGGCATCCTCCCAGCTTTTCTCGTCTGCGAGCTGCTCCTCTTTGACTCTTTCCCAAGAGGACCGGTCGGAGACACTGTGGCGGCCCACGAAGTCTTGAGTGTCCTTGTACTCGTAGAGCCCTGGGGTTGTCGGGTCTTCTCGCCAGATGAGCCTCCCGGACTCGATGAGCATGCCCTGCTCCGCCTCGGTCCATTTGCCATCGACCTGCTTCTGCGAGAGCCACTTGTCCTTTCTCTCAAGGGTACTCTTTGCCTCGCGGCTGTGTTTCTCAACAGCATAGGTTGGGCTCTTTCGCAAGAACCAGGACAAGATGGCCTCGCCCTTTTCTTTCTTGCTCAGCTGCTCGTGCTCACCCTTTTCCGAGGGGTTGTTGTTGAGGTAGGTCTTGTGCTTCTGCCACAGGCCCTGCTTCTCGGCGGGGGTGACGACCTGTCCCAAGGCCTCTGTGGCTGCCTCGACATCCTCGGGATTCTCGGCAGCAATGGCGGCGACCTTCTCCTTGAGGGACATCTCCTTGAGGGCTTGCAGCTTCTCATCGGTGAGGCCTGCCCCCTTTGCCAAGGAGGCCTTCTTTCTCAAGGGCTCCAAGCCCTCTTCCGAGGGCGAACCGCTTGGTCGCTTCTTGGCTTCGGTACCCTTTGGCAAGGGTGCATCTTCGGCTGCTGCTGGCTTCTTCATCTTAGGTGCCATGGCAATGAAAGGATATAGAGATCAATGAGGTACAATAGGCTTGACACGGGATGCTGCATGTTCTCACGAAGTGCTCCCTCCCCCCCGTCTCTGTCCCAGCTGCACCTCTACTCTCACCAGTCCTCCTTTGCATCTATTGTTTGCTTTCAGGTTTAGGGTTTAGGGTTGAGGGTTTAGGGCAAAGCTGCCCCGGTGAAACTCTAAAACGTTCAGGGTAGCCTGAAACACTATATAAAGGGTTTTAGAGTTGAGGGTTGAGGGTTTTGGGTTTAGGGTTCAGGGCAAGGCTGCCCCTCTCAAACTCTAAAACCTTCAGGGTTGCCGGAAACACTAAAGGGTTTTAGGGTTTGGAGTCGAGGGTTTTGGGCTTAGGATTCAGGGTTTAGGGTTCAGGGCAAGGCTGCCCCTCTAAAACTCTACAACCTTCAGGGTTGCCGGAACCACTAAAGGTTTTTAGGGTTTAGGGTTGAGGGCTTAGGGCTTAGGGCTTAGGATTTAGGGTTTAGGGTTCAGGGCAAGGCTGCCCTTTAAACCCTAAATCCTAAACCCTAAACCCTAAACTTCCCTCGGGTTGGCGCTTTAAACGTACCTCCTCTATAATCAGTATTTGGAAAACAGATGTTTCTATTTTATTCGCTTATTTTTGTCAGGTGTTTTCCAATATTTTTTTAACTCTTAACACTAAACCCTAAACCCTAAACCCTAAACCCTAAACACTCCATCAGAAATATAAAATTCTAAAACTCGAAAACCTTCAGGGTTGCCGGAAACACTAAAGGGTTTTAGGGTTTAGGGTTGAGGTCTTAGGGCGTAGGGTTTAGGATTTAGGGTTTAGGGTTCAGGCTGCCCCTTAAACCCTAAGCCCTAAGCCCTAAACCCTAAACTTCCCTCGGGTTGGCGCTTTAAAAGTACCTCCTCTATAATCAGTATTTGGAAAATAGATGTTTCTATTTTATTCGCACATTTTTGTCAGGTGTTTTCCAATATTTTTTAACCCTAAACACTAAACCCTAAACCCTAAACCCTAAACCCTAAACCCTAAACCCTAAACACTCAATCAGAAATATAAATTCTAAAACTCGAAAACCTTCAGGGTTGCCGGAAACACTAAAGGGTTTTAGGGTTTAGGGTTGACGGCTTAGGGCTTAGGGTTTAGGATTTAGGGTTTAGGGTTCAGGGCACGGCTGCTCCTCTAAAACTCTAAAACCTTCGGGGTTGCCGGAAACACTAAAGGGTTTTATAGGGTTTAGGGTTGAGGACTTAGGGCTTAGGGTTTAGAATTTAGGGCTTAGGGTTTAGGGCAAGGCTGCCCCGCGGAAACTCTAAAACCTTCAGGGCTGGCTGAAACACTAGGATTGCCCTTAAAACCCTGTGAAAAATATACCTGGCTCCTCTGAAACCCAGCAAGGGAACGTATAAAATGTCCCAAGGGCCTTCCGAACCTAAACGCCTTCAACCCTCAACCCCAAACCGAAAACCCGAAACATCAAACCGTAGGCCCTAGAACTGTCAAACCTTCAACCGTACTAAGTGCCTGCAGCACCTCCCCTTAAGGCCGAAGCCCCAAGTCCCAAAACCCTCTGCCCTCCCCCCCACCCGTCCCTCCCAATCCAGCAGTCTCCTGTGGGCAGGTGTGCTGCATGTCATGCACACCCTAAACCCTAAACCCTAAACCCTCAACCCTATACCTTATACGGTTTAGGGTTAAGGGTTTAGGGTTGAGACTGTATATGTGTGTGTGCTCTATACATAATATAGCACGCCATATCTCGATCAAAAAGTATCTGTATGTACATATAGACATAGAGTATATGTATATAAATAAATATATATATATATATTTATATTTATATATATATATATATTTATATCATTTAGATAACTACATATATATATATATAAATCTAAACCAAAAAACTTTCCCTTTGACAAGGGCAGCAGGGGAGAGAGAGAGAGAGAGAGAGAGAGAGAGAGAGAGAGAGAGAGAGAGAGAGAGAGAGACAGACACGGACAGAGACACAGACACACAGACAGAGAGGCACACACACACACACACACACACACCTTGCCCTTTCACAAGGGCTGGGCGGGGCCTTGGCCACTTGAAGGGTCCGGTTGCGGTTTAGGGTTTAGGGATTCCAGCCTAAACCCTAAACCCAAATCCTGAACACCCCAAACAGCCTAAACACCGCAAACATCCCACGCCTAAACCCAAAATCCAAATCCTAAACACACTAAGCAGCCTAAACGCCGTAAGCGCCCCAAGCTCTGAACCCTAAACACCGTAAACCCGAAACCCTAAATCCTAAACTCTGAACCCTGAACCCTGAACCCTGAACCCTAAACCACCACGAAAACCAAAGTAATCACGTAAAAAAAGACACACATGATGAAATATGACGAAACATGATGAAACATGATGAAATATGATGAAATCCTGTATTTTCATCATATTCCATCATATTTCATCATGTTTCATCATGTTTCATCATGTTTCATCATGTTTCATCATGTTTCATCATGTGTGTGTGTGTGCGTGCGTTTTTTTACGTGTTTTTTTGGGGGTGCTACTGCAGTATCCACAATCATACAACAGACCCTCAACCTGAACTTCAAAAGGGACCTTTTGGGTTTGGGGTTTGGGGTCTGGGTTTAGGATTTAGGGTTTAGGGCTTTCAGTCTTGGGTGCTTTGAGGGTGGGTTTCGGGTCGAGGGTTGCAGTGCTTCAGGGTTTGGGGTGTCGGTGTAATCCTTTCGGTAACCCTGATCCCCAAACCCTCAAACGTAAACCCTGCCCTACACCCTTTTGTTTTGGGGTTTGGTTTTAGGGTTTGGGGTCTGGGGTTTAGGGTTTAGGGTGTAGGGTTTAGGGTTTAGGGCTTTCAGTGTTGGATGCTTTGAGGGTGGGTTTCGGGTCGAGGGTTGCAGTGCTTCAGGGTTTGGGGTGTGGGTGTCATCCTTTTCGGGAACCCTGATCCCCAAACCCTCAAACGTAAACCCTGCCCTAAACCCTTCTGTTTTGGGGTTTGGTTTTAGGGTTTGGGGTTTGGGGTTTGGGGTCTGGGGTTTAGGGTTTAGGGCTTTCAGTGTTGGATGCTTTGAGGGTGAGTTTCGGGTCGAGGGTTGCAGTGCTTCAGGTTTGGGGTGTCGGTCTAATCCTTTCGGGAACCCTGATCCCCAAACCCTCAAACGTAAACCCTGCCCTAAACCCTTCTGTTTTGGGGCTCGCGGTTTAGGGTTCGGGGCGTTGGGTTCTAGGGTTTGGGCTTGAGGGTTCCTGCATGAGCCCCAGGCCCCAAAACAGCAGAAGACAAAACCCAGAACCCTTGAGTCCTCAAAACCCTGAGACCCTAAACCCCTAAACTCCTGAACCCTAAACCCCTAACCCGAAAACCCAACACCCAAACCCTAGAACCTTGAACTCTACACCCCACCCTAAACCCTAAACCCTACAGCCTAAACCCTATACCCTACATCCAGACGATGTCCATCTTTTGGCGGGCTCGGTCGCTGCTCAACTGAGCTAAGCTCAGGGTGGACCTAGTATGCCCAGGAATGCTGTGCCCACCCGCTTTTATAATACAAAAACCTATACCCTAGACCCTAAAGCCTAAACCCCTAAACCCCTAAACCCCTAAATCCTACACCCTAAACCCTAAACCCCAAACCCTACATATGCTTTATATGTTTCAAAAAACCGAAAACGTACGGCACATCATATCCCCTTTCATGCCAAGGAGGCTACTTTCCCTTTTAAAGGGGCGCCCAAAAGAAAACTACCACCCCTTTTTCCAGGGGAGACTACTTCCCCTTTTCAAGGGGTGCTCAAAAGAATACTACGACCCCTTTTTCAAGGGGGCTGGAGAAGCTCCTCGACCACGGCAGTCAGGTCGGTGTACTTCGTCCCGGTCCACCAGGAGTGCCTCATGTGCTTGGTGGTGATGGGGTACAGCTCCATGCCCATCCTCGAGGCCTCCCGGCAGATCTCTTGGTTGTCGTCCACCAACATCTTCAGCCCTTTTGCAAGGGCACTGTGGACCTTGCCACCTGAGCCAGTTCGCTGGGTCACCACCTCCCAGCCCTCCAGCGTCCCGGGAAAGGCAGCCCTCAGTGGTGCCAGCACTTGCTGCAGCAGTCTCTCCGTCCTGGGCTGGTTCCCGGTTTAGGGTTTAAGGGTTCTGGGTTTATGGGCTACTAGGGTGGTGTATTATATGGAGGACCCATAGAATAGGAGTACAAAACGGCTTCCACAGTAAGACCAGTCTCGACCTCTGTCGCTTTCTGCCAGTCATCGAAATGACCCAAACTCGGTAGCGATGGCAGGCCAGCAGCTTCTTGAAGGCGGTCTTCTCCTTGTCCTGCAGTACAGCAGACCCCTAGACCCAGGCCCCTAAACCCTAGACCCTAAACCCTAAACCCTAAAGCCAAACCCTAAACTCTAACGCCTAAACCCCAAACCCCAAACCCTAAACCCTAAACTCTAAACCCTAAAGCCTAAACCCTCAACCCTTAACCCTAAACCCTAACCCCTACACAGAAAACAAAAAAGCATTGCTGGTTCAAGTGTCAGGTCCCTGATGTAGGTTTCATTGCCGAACTGCAAGACGTTGTGCCAGTCAATACAGATCCCCTTTTGCAAGGGGTTGGCAATGGCCACGGTTACAGGGATGTGCTGCTCCGGGTTCAGCAGCTCCAGGCCCTCTTCCGAGGGTGCCAGTGGCCCAGAGGAAAGAGAAGAAGCATCATCTGTATCCATCCTCCAGGGTTAGGGTTCGGGGTTTAGGGTTCCGGGTTTAGGGTTCAAGGTTAACCCTACACCCTCAACCCTCAACCCTAAACCCTAAACCCTAAACCCTAAACCCTAAACCCTAAACCCTAAACCCTAGCTAAACTTGAGGGTTGAGGGTTAAGGGTTTAAGGTTTGGGAGGAGGGGTTTAAGGTTTGGGGTTTCAGGTTTGGACAGGCCAGCATGCCTCTGGGGAGGGGC